TTTTTTTTTTTTTTTTTTTTTTTTTTTTTTTTTTTTTTTTTTTTAGCTGTGCAATTAGAACTTTATGGTGAATACTTCAAATCAACTAATTTCAATTGATCCAATTATATGTTTTGTATATAATATGCAATGGTAACGTAGTTTGTAAGATAAGAGTGAGATAAGGCAATGTATTGGAAATGCCTAATTACATTCTTACTCGATCTGAATATCAAATGAATGTTATATAAGAGACAGACAACTTCAGAAACAGGACATTAGGAGACAGAAGCAACAGCCTCTTGAAGGCATGTCCTATGCTAATGCCAGGACTAGAAACAACAGATGTGTGGAAAATTTTTAAAGTCTGAACCTACAATACTCGCTTAAAGGTAGCTACGGTAGCGGGGGCTGTACATGCAGCTCTCAGCAAATTTTACGAGATCCTTCGGTCGAGGAAGACGAGAAGCCAGACCTGTAAATGTTATATGATGCAACTGTAAGTTTACTTGTCTGTCATTGGTTTATCTATGAATGATTTAATCACATTGTGAAGAAAATGGGAGAGACGCTAACCAAGTTCATAAGCCTTAGCAGCAACTTTAGCAGCAATGTTAGCAGATATCTTTCTGATGTTGGTAAAAGGAGGGTAAATCAATCCCTTATCATAGTTTTCCTGACTCACTTGGGCAGCCAGAGCCGCAGCTGGAAAGAGAAAAAAACCTGTTAAATCGAGCTCTGACCCGGCAAAACTAATACTCGACATGCGTTGGACAGGGGTAAGAGAAAAGCTATAGATATTGCAGCATATACTTGATAAAGATTGGCAGGAAACAAGCATCATTAGTTGACTCAATTAACCAAAATTTCACTTACAGGCTGCCAGGAGCATGTCATCGTGCACACGAATCGTGCCCGACATGATCAGACCCAAGCCAAATCCAGGGAATATGTAAGCATTGTTGGCCTGAATGACATTAGGAAGAGAAAGCAAGCTCATAAGATAAAAACCAAGTTGTTGAAGTTGAATGGTTATTAGAAAGATCAGTTTTTTTAAGTATGAAAGGTACCTGGCCAGGCACAAAAACTTTCCCATCATATTCAACCGGATCAAATGGACTTCCACTAGCAAAGATCGCCCGGCCCTGCAGGTTTAAAAGGATAAGTTTTAAGACCATGGTGATTTCTTGTTATGATATGATCTGCAAACATAAATGATGCTAGCTGTTTTGCAGGACTTGGACTGTACCTGGCTCCATGTATAAGCCTCTTCAGCTGTACACTCCGACTGTGATGTAGGATTCGAGAGAGCAAGGATCAGTGGTTTCTGCATAGTAATCGAGACTCGAGTTAAACTTAAATAACTTCTTGTCTTAGAATTGAGGAATGGAGAAGTTAGAGGGGACAAGGAAGAACCTCATTGATGGATGCCATGGCCTCCACAACTTCCTTTGTAAATGTCTTCCCAACACCAGATGTTCCTATCAACACAGTTGGCCTGATTGCCTATATAATTTGAAGTTTTAAGATTGAGTTTACAAAGATCTCATAGAAGAACGAGTAAATAATGAAGGAATAGATGTCAATTACAAACCCGGACGACGTCGTGAAGATCCTTGATAGATTCATGGTCATGAGCCCAAGGCTTCTTAAAATGTTGAAGGGATTCGAAGCGGGATCGAACGATCAGCCCCTGTGACAATGGTTATAATTCTTTTAGAACAGAAAATAACATTTGAGTGTAAAGGCACAATATTGAAGCGAGCCAGTCCAAACAACCTTTGAGTCCACAAGCCAAATGTTCTTGCGAGTCTCTTCAACTGGAGCTCCAGTCTGCCAAAAACAAGCAAAATCATAAACCATAAATGCATTTGATTGATACAGAATCAACAGGAGAAGAGCAGTAGAAGTAGAAGTAGGCTCATACCTGTTTTGAAATCTCCAAAGCAATAAGCTCAGCTATACCAGTCCCAGCCTGCAACAGTCAAATGACAGAAATAAGAAACAGCATACCATTGAGAACAAAAGCATGGCTATTTGATCTCTTAGAACGGATATGGACATAATTTTGTGAATGAAAGTTTTGCAGACAAGACAGTAAAGATATGCAGATGATCAATCAAGGAAATATGTGCCAAGGTAAATGAACAAAATTTAACTCACCTCTCCAGCTCCAAGGAACAAGAAAGTATGCTCAGCTAATGTCCCTCCAACAAGTTTAAGAGCTGCAAGTAGTCCTGCTACAACGACAGATGCCGTACCCTAAATGTCGAACGAGAAAAAGCTTGTTAGAGAGCTAATCTCAAAACATATAAAGTTAACAGTGAACTGAAAGTGATGCATATGTTTTGTACCTGAATGTCGTCGTTGAACACGAGGTGTGACGAGCTATATCTTGCAAGCAACTCGAATGCATTGTGGTTTGCAAAATCTTCAAACTGTTGAGAAATGCATAGTGAGCCACTGAATCGAAGTCCAATCCTAACTGTAAGTTGAAATTACCAAGTACCTGTACAAGGACTTTCTCACCATAGTTCTTCTTTACTGCATACATGAACTCATCTAAAAGTTCCATGTATTCCTGAATGAAGGAAAGCACTGCATGAATGGATTGAAATCATGGAGTTGGGAGATAAAAAGGGAGCAATAAATTGTTTTACCTGTCCTCTGGCTCGTTTATGTCTAAGGCCAATGTAAAACTCATCGTTCAGAAGCTGCTCGTTGTTCGTACCGACGTCTATCGTGATCGGCAAGCACTGTACACAGAACTACAAACTTAAGTCCTTGCTTGGTAGTACTTGACTTATCCAGGTATCAACACTCAGCTAAATTCAGATTAGAACAGAAGTATATAAGCTAAAAGCATTGCTTACAGCTGAGGGTCGAATTCCTCCAAGTGCTGTATACAGAGAAAGCTTTCCCACAGGAATCCCCATGCCCTGAAAAAACATGGAAACAGTAAGCTACAGGATGTAAGTAAATAAAGGTTCATCAGCAGAATGAAAGAAGTAAGTTTTATTACTTGGCATCCTAAATCCCCAAGGCCTAGAATCCGCTCTCCATCAGTCACAACAATAACTTGAATGTTCCTTTCAGGCCAGTTCTTCAAAACTTCAAGAATCTTTCCCCTGGAAAGGGAAATAGTTGATTATCAGTTCTGAAGTAATGAAACCAATCATAGATCAAAAATGCTTGTTTAGTGGCGTACTTCTCTTTCAAACTGATGAAAAGGCCCTGAGGTCGCCTGTAAATTTTTCCATACTTCTGGCAAGCTTCGCCTACAGTTGGAGTGTACACAACTGGAAGCAGTTCTTCGACATTATCGATGAGAAGCTTGTAGAACAGCCTTTCATTTCTCTCCTGCAAGATCAAATCATAGTAGACATGAAGGAAAATTTTTGGTATGGCTGAGTAGAACGAAGCTACAAGTACAAACATCAATTGGGATAAGGAAGCAAAGAACACTCTATAGGTTGTGTGAGATCCCACGTTGGTTGGAGAGGGGAACGGAGCATTCTTTATAAGGGTGTGGAAACCTCTCTCTAGCAGACACGTTTTAAAACCTTGAGGGGAATCTCAGAAGAAAAAGCCCAAAGAAGACAATATCTGCTAGCGGTGGACTTGGGTTGTTACAGTTGGTAGAGATACAAGGCGGTGTGCTTGCGAGGACGCTGAGCCCCGAAGGAGTGTGAATTGTGAGATCCCACATCAGTTGAAGAGGGGAACGAAACATTCTTTATAAAGGTATGGAAACCTTTCCCTAACATAAGCATTTTAAAACCTTGAAAGAGAGCCCCGAAGGAAAAGCCCAAAGAGAACAATATCTGCTAGTAGTAGGCTTTGGCTATTACAGTTGGTATCATAGCCAGACATCGGGTGGTGTGTCAATTGGAGAGGGGAACAAGTGCCAGCAAGAACGTTGAGCCCCGAAGGGGGTGAATTTTGAGATCTCACATCAGTAAGATAGGGGAACGAAACATTCCTTATAAAAGTATGAAAATCTCTTCCTAGCAGACGCATTTTAAAACCTTGAGAGAAAGCCCCAAAAAAAAACTTAAGGAGGACAATATCTGCTGGCAGTGGGCTTGGCCGGTTATAGGTTGTCTACGAGCTTGGATCAAATTTAACCTCAGATTCTAAGATTTATAAGGTTGTTCTTGGGGAGTTTAATGATAGAACTAAAGAACAAGAACCCAGCAACTCCTCAGCTTTTACCCTTACAGCTTTTACTCATTAAAAACCTTCAAAGCTTTAAGCCAAACCTGAAGATCCATCAAGGCAATATATCTGTGCAAAGGAACATCATAGTTGCGAAGATTGTGCATCATCCTCCTTTCCTGCTAGCCAAGAAGCCATCAACATTGAATCCAAACCAACCCCAGAAAGAAGCAAAGAACAAGAGAGATCCAAACTCACCTGAAGTTCCTGATCAAAAAGTGCAGGCGGCAACAAGCCACGCAAGTAATGAGCATCTCTCTCTTTCTCAGTAAAGGAAAGGCCCTTGTTGTAGATGGGATCACGCAGCAACGAGTAGCCACTGAAACAACAAAAACAACAAGAAAGGGAAAGTAAGCAGTAGAATCAAAGACAATCCCATAAAGGAAGATGTGTTTATGTTTCTTGAATGTTACCTAGCAACAGAGACAGTCCAGGGGGTAATGAGCTGATCTTCAGTGGCGTTATGTTCCCCATACGCTTCCTGAAACTTGTTGTCAATGTCTTCCATCTCCATATGAACACTACCACTGCTCATCGTCTTCCTCATGGCGCCCTCCATGAATCTGCTCTGAAAGCTGCTTCTTCCGCACGCCAATGGGCTCTGAGCTACAAGGAAAAGGGCAGGCAGGCAGGCAGCACACAGAGAGAAATTGGTGGAAACGGAAGGACCAAGATTCAGGCTTTATAGTGAACGAAAAACGAAAAAGTGCAAATTTCTTTTTGCTTATTCCCGATTTTGTCAACCAATTATGGCCACAATGTGAAGAGCATAAACGACCCACGTGGACTAATTGATTCAAGAACCCAACAACCACCAAAAAAATATATATATATATATATATATATATATTTATGATTTTTGCACTTTTAACTCAAAATTACCAAAGTTGAAATAATACTAAACTTTTTTTTAAAAATTAGGTATAGTTTTAAATGGAATTGTTAATATATTATTTTAATGTCAAAAATATTTTAAAAAATGCTTTTAAATGTTTAAAATGTTCTAAAAAAATTAAAGTTAAAAAATATTATTGTAACCTCATTTAAAAAAATTATGTTTTTACATTATTAAGGTTTTGTTGGGTTCTATTTGAAAATTTTAAAAAGTATTAAGGGTATTTTTTTTAATTTTTTAAGAAGTTTATGATATTAATTTCTAATCAATTAGTTTTTTTTTATTTAAGTTATTAATTTCTATAAAAATATATATATATATATATATTATCAATGGACAAAAGCTTAATATTCTTGTACTACCCTTTTTTGGCTCGAGAGATAGAAGATGCTAAGTTGCTTTTTTAGAGTAAGAAGGAGGAGAAAATACGGGAGCTAACGTTTAATTACCATGTACTTTGTTGTAAATGATGTTACCTATGCTCTTCAATTATTACACATTAATCATTACATTCAATTTTATTTTATTTTATTTTAACAAAAAAAAATCTTTGAGTTATTTTTTTAAAATAAATTTCAAAATTCAAAAGTAATTTTCTCAAAACTAATGAAATGAAATCAAAAGATATTTTAAATAATTTAACTTTCATTTTTCAAGTAAATTTGCTAAATTACACAAAAATTCAAACCATTGGACAAATCCTTAGATGTTACCAAAAAAAAATCTCTTTATAATCAATAAACATAAAAATCATTACTTGATAGTTTTTATTTTATTTTACTATTTTGATATTACTAATGAACTTAAATATAATTTAAACAATTAGACATGCAATTAACTCAACCGACAAAGTTATTCAAATAAGACATTAAACATAATCCTTAAAGTGCACGTTATTTGTCATATAGAACAAACCAATTATTTGATTCATTGTATTGTATAATAAAATATAAAAAAATTTAACAATTTTACTCAATTTCATAAAAAATTAATTAAAATAATTGAAAAAAAAATGAAATACCATTCGATTTTAAACTCAAGATATGTGAGGTAATTATTGTAATTAAAGTGATAAAGCTTGTTAAAACAATGATATGAATTCTCTTAAATAAGGTAGAAAATTATTAAATGCAACATTATTACCGAGGCAGAAACGGGTAGCCGGTGGAGGTAGCCCCCGCCATCTTTGGCGCTACCTACCGCCCATGCCCGTTGCCCGTCGCTTCGCATTAAACAACAAGCAATATGATTGCACGTCATGTTTCCCACGCGCCCCCTCTTTAAACTAAAATTACCCTTTTGCCCCTCCCTTTTCACTATATTTTCATTTCTAAATTATTACATACCTAATATTTACATTTTCACTTTAATTACTTAAATAAAATTATTTTTAAATCAATTATATTATTCTTTA